TATCAAACTGCGACTTGGCCGGTGTTTTTTGGAAACACCCAGACGCGACCCTGGGCCCTCATATGGAGGGGTCGGATCCTCATATGGAGGGGTCTGGGTCTCAATTCCCTAGGTTTTGAGGGGCCAGTCGGGCTGTGAACGGAGCGTTTGGGCACAACCAAACGAGTGACCAGTTCGGTACAGACTGGAACAACGGTTCGAAAAAAGCAATGACAACCGGTGGCAACACGAGGAGAACAGCGGCAGTTGCAATGCAACATGCAACAATCAATGGCAGCAGCCACCGCCTCAGCAGCGGAAAAGCAAACTGAATTATAAGCAACAAGCGAGCTACAATGACGCAATGAAAAGCTGCCACGGAAACAGCAATGACAAGCCAGGATGACGTAGGTGCATCCGTCCTTCCAGCAAATCATATATATCGCTAGTAGTATCGCTGGTCTTTCTTTGGGCCTGCAAGACTCTTCGGCCACTCTCAACGGGAGACCTGGATTGGCTCATTCATGCTTTGCAGATGACTCAACAGCTCTTGGACCACAATTTTGGACCCAGTCCAACCTCATCCAGACCCATCACCGCCACGCCACCCCTATGAATCACCTACACCCCTGCCAGCCGCCTGTTTCGCACCCTCCAACCACCCCCTCCGTGGGACACTCTGAGGTGCGAACTCGAACCCGGCGGCGCCCACGGAGTGCTCCATCAGCGCGGAACAGGCCACCGTGGACGTGAAGGAAGCGGACGATATGCTCGCAGCGCCACCTGGCGGAAGGAGGCGACTTCCAACGGCGACTTACTGGTACAGTGCTTGAGGTGTTTTCCTTTTTTCGTGAGGCGGTGAAAGACTGGGGGGGGGTTGGTCAGTAGAGAGAATTCAACCGGTACGGTACCAGTCTAAGCAGGATGCGTGCTCGGCTGCTTACTTGGACCCTTCGTGCGAAAGGCTGCTCTGCTTGGTCAACCACGGAAAGACCACCCAGAAGAAAAACCAGGTCGATGCAGATCGGTGTTTTCGACGTTTCGACGGTCGGAGAAAGGATGATCCGATCAAAAAAGAAGATCGAATGCCTGTAGTGTCTCGCTGTAGTTTAAGTTTTGGATTGATTGACCCCTCAAACCACCCCAACTGATCGGCATATATGGCAGTCCCATGGAGTGTCTGGGAGTTTTGGATTGATGGTTGACACATAAAGAATCAATAAATATCCACTTGTTCACTTCGCGTTCGTGGCCGGACCTGGACCCCGATGTTCCTCAAAGTCGACCGTTTTGCGTGTGGCGTTTTCGTTTTTTCCGATCCACCGGTCATTGATCACGGCCGATGTTCTTGGGATGTTGGGCAGGGTTGGGCTGAAGAGCCGAGGGCAGCAGTGTTTCCACTCAGGTACTCCAAAGACTTTGGCATGAGCTTCAGCTGAATTCAGCGAGACCTCTGTTGGACAGTGGTGGACCCAGATTCAGACTCTTGATGAATAAACTCCACCACTTGAATTGGACATCTTTTTTTCATATGAGGGGTTTATGAATCAAGAGTCTACGTTAGGGAGCGTTGGACATGCTTGGAGATGTGGTCCTGAACCTTTGCGAATCGATTTTGGTTTCGTCTCCGGTCAAGGATTCCATGCCGTGTGCAGACCCTCAGTCTTTTCACCAAAAAAAAGAACTCTAAGCATCCCAAGCAGCGACATCGCGTTGATAGCTCAAATGAATTCAAAAGAACCATCCTATGGAACCTTTCACATTCGTACCCTGCAGAGGCGGATACTAAGCAAATCGTGTTTGAAGCATTCATTGCTGGCCTGGGCCTCCCACACCTCATCCCACCTCATGATGTCTCACCTAATACATCCCTTCTTCGATGTTTCGCTCCCTCCTCCCCAGTCGTCTGCTCCGTCTCCCACCACCCAATCCTCCCCTCGGACCGTCACGGTCGACCCACCGTCCCAGCTCGCGCGACCCGCCGGTCTGCCGCGCGCTGAAGACCGCGACCTGCGAGGATCGACCTCTTCTCGCCGATGTGCATGGAGGGCCGCTGCGACATCTTTGTACCTGGCACCTCGGCGGTGGCTTACGTGGATAAGACCCACATCAATCTGATCCTTGGCTTCGGTTGGCTTCGACAGACAGAAGTGGGGGGTGAAGGAGTGGGAGAGCTTCTCCCGGCGCTTTGCTTGGGTGAGAAAACACATTATACTGTAAGTAAGTGTTCATTTTTGGTCCAGTCAAGCAAGATCAATGTAATGTGTGTTTTTCTTGGTTGTTTGATGTTGTTTGATGTTCTTTTGTTTCTTTGATTTTCCAAGACGTGACGTGAAGACTGATTGTACATTACTACTGATGTCCCACAAAGCCGATACTTGAAGACTTAACAAGAGGTTTCCTTTCCCTACTGACCTACGCGTCTCATGCAGAGATTGGGGTGTTTCTTGGAGCAACAACTGGTGGTTTTCGGGCGCCCAAAGGAGTTGTCCACTATCCCATGAGCTGTTTGGGATTGGCATATTACATTGATGCGGTCAATCTTCCACTAGGTCCATGTAGGTCAAAGAATGTGTTCCACTCAGCGTCCAGTGCTTGGGGTGGACTCCAGTGCTTGGGACTGTTAGGAGTTCTGTTGCTTTTTTTGTCAATGCTCGGTGCCGCCCGGTTTTCCGGAAAGTGATGTGTGGACCATCGTAATCTTCATTTGTTCAGTTGGTTTGCTACACATAGAAACCTCAACAGCAAGCTGCTTGGGATGTTGAAAAAGTCCTTTGGGTTTGTCAGATGGGAGAAGTCAGGGGTCCCCTTGCAACATAGATTATGTTTTATATCGTTCATCAGAGAGTTTTATTGACATGTTTCGCTTCCGAAGAAGAGTACTGTGAAAAAGCTGGAACCAAATCTAAGGAATGGTTGTCATTACTTGGCTCCGTTTATTTGCTCTGGTATGCGCTCGCTCGGATACATTTGAGAGCTCCAGCAGCGGGAGACATGAAGGCATTGGATAGTAGATGATACTGTAGATGTTCAGAGATTTGAGGTGTCTGAGTCAATCCGAGTCTTTAGCAGCTTACAATCCCATGCGTCCTTTGACAGCGTTGAAGAACGCAACATCCCATCCAGGGTGAAAGACGCACAGACCTCTGAACCTTAGAGAGAGACTGAATCCGTAGCAATTGGCACAAGGACACTGCACAGGACTGGTCGAAACGGCAGACCTCAGGAGCTAGGAATTCGTGTGTTCAAGGCGTTTGCATCGAAAACCCTGAGTTGGAGTGAAAAGGTCCAGAACAGAAGCCTTGGCCCATCGGACTGCTGTGATAGTTGAATTTGAGCATTTGCAGGAACATCCGCAGGCCCAGACAAGAAAGTGTATCCAGGTTTTGCTTGAGTGAAGCAAGGAGGAGCCACGGTATGTCATGATTGTTTCATGATGATTATTTGATAGTGGATCAACTTCTAGTGACCATTCAAGCTCGTCCTTGGTCGAACATGCTGAGATGCTCTGCAAGTGCTGTTGTTCCAACTATAGCACTTGCCTGCCTTTGGCACGGGGAATGCCCGGCCTTGTTCAAGACATCGCTGGGACGATGCTGTCCCCGAAATGAAAATATATGGCTCGGTCAAGGCTTTTGTCCTTGGAGCTGTGGGGATGGAGCATGATGGAGCTGTGGGTTACTTTTAGGATCAATGTGAAGATTGGTGAGGTGAAGCAAAAAAGCTACTTTACCGTGAAATCTGTTGAATGTCCCAATTTCCTCCTGTGTGCTTTTGATAGCCTTTTGCCCATAGCAGCCTCGGTTTGAGGCACCCCTTTCAAACGACGATTCAAGAATTGATTGTTCAGACTCACTGGCAAATGGATACATTCTTGAATCTGTTTGAGGGGCATTGCTTCTTTGCATCATTTTGCATCAATGGTAGCTGGAATCGTTTGCCACAAGTGCTTGGTGTAAGCAGAGATTCTTACCAATTCAAGTGTTGCACGGAATGCCTCCATGTGCTCAAGAGCATTGGAAGCCTTTATGGTTCGATCCTGGAAAACTACCTCATTGCCTTGAGCCAAGGGATCCAAGTTAGATGAGGCAAATCAAACGTTCTTGCCTCATCCCGGCGCCATGCGGGACCCACCCAACGCCGGCCGTGAGGCCTTGGCGGCCTCGTTCGATCTGGAGCCCATCGGCGCAAAGCTGGTCAGGGCTTCGGCCAGGGGCTTCCAGAATGGAAGACGCTCCTGGCAGGGACTGCGCCATGGCCTTTCCAAAGACTTCAACGGCGGCGATTCCGGGACCAAAGAAGAAGAAAAGGAGGGTGAAGCGAAGCGCCGGCCATTTCGGATTTTTATCTGATCATGGGAGGTCAGACTATGGGCCGACTTAGGGCCTAGGGTCTGCTTGATGCTGGATGCTTTCATTATCCCATTATACCTCCAGTCGTACCTCCTCAGAAGGTATGACTGGACCCTCCAAACTCACCCCAGTCGCACCTTCTCAGAAGGTGCGACTGGAGGCCAAACGGATATCGAGATGTGTGGCCGCAGCAATTTTGTGACCGAAGAAACTCCATAGTGATGTGTTGCGGTGGAAGTTCCGTGGCACTGTGGTCTACCCCAGATGCGAACAGAAACGCACGCGCACCTCATGGGTAGCATGAACGTTTAGTGGAGCCTTTTGGGGTTGTTTGCATCGTGACCTCTATTGTCCAAATGCCATGGATGCTGCATCCTTCGTCCAGGTCAACGCAAGCTTCATCACTCGCGAAGTTCCGAAACGCGTGACCTCAAGGGGCTCCTCAAAGGCTTCAGCTTCAGCCTTCGTAGGTGTCCTGGCTTGGACAAGTCGTGCCTGCTGGGCGCCAGAGGTTCCCTTTCTGTGTGAATTCTCGGTGTACTAGGGAAGATGTGTTTACCTGTCAGGTTATTGTTATTTTTACATGGTTTCATATGTTCCTAAGAGTTCTTGCACATCCAAGGTTTGGCCAAGATTGGCCAGGACTATGGCTGGCTTTGCAAGGTGCAGATGTTTTCCACTTACACCGGTTTAGCTGCCATGCTGCTGGCCTGCATGTACTATGGTTGTCCTGCGAAACAATCCCGCGATCCCAACATGGCGGGGTCGCGAGTGTTGACGGTGTACTTGGGCCTCGTTATCGGGCTCTTGTATTTTTCCACGGACCAGTACCTTCCCAGCTTGCCGGAGATGGAAGTCGAGTTGGGTGGATCCGAGATGTTGCTCTCTGGCTCCGTGCGACTTGGAAGGCCTTTACTAACCAATATACTCCACCTACTTTCCCCTTGAATTGAAACGCATTCTTTTCCGTGATAATTCTAATGACATCTCTTCGGAATTGATTTTCTCCCCACCTGGAAGTTCCTTTCAGGCAACTGAACTTGTTTTTGAAGTGCTTAGCTGGCCTCATTGTGGCGCCCTTGTCGGATCAAGTGGGTCGCCAGCCCATTTTTGCGACCTGTGCAACCTTGTTGATCTTGGGTTCACTGGGATGTGCGCTCGCGCCAGATGTGAATTGGTTCCTAGCAGCCAGGGTCATACAGTCCCTGGGCGAATCGCTTGAACCCTTGATCTTTGCAATTATCAGGGATTGCTATCAAGATGAAGCTCAGCAGCTTTCAACAGCTTTGTGCGTTTTTCAGCTTACTTATATAGCGAAATTCAAATAGTATTACTGTTTCGCTGGTGATTTCGAGTCGGGCGTCCACTCCTTCGACTTCTTCGACTTCTTTCGATGTCCGAGGAACAAGAGAGGCTTGTGGCCGTGTCCTTGGTCGGATCCTTGATGATGATGGGCATCGCACTGGGCCCAGTGGTCGGAGGTCTCGTCGCTTCACTTTGCCATTGGCGAGCCACTTGGGCGAACTAGAGAGCCGTGAAACGGGAGGGAGGGACCCTTTTTGCGCTGTGGGTCGCACCTCCCTAGGCCTCCAAGCACCTTCTGAGAAGGTGGGACTGGGGTGGGTTTGGAGGGTCCAAATACCTCCTCAGAAGGTATTTGGAGTTATTGGGCCTGTACTGGCCCCACCAGGGCCTAGGGGCCCCTGTTGGGGCACGACATCCGCAGCTCCAGGAATTGGTTGGTCCGGTGCCATCGACCGAGAAACCCACCGAGAAGTCTGACGAAGTCCTACTCGGGAGACCAGACTGACCTCTGGGTCAGAGTATGTCAGAGTCCTAACAAGGGTCCATTCTTCTCTGGTTCCCTAAGCTCAGCTCACTTGGGAGGATTGAAGACCCCCACAAAAATACCAGCACCACCACTTGGGAAGTCACTTCCATCATACAAAATCCATCCATCATGGCTTTAAAGGCCTGATGCCAACCGATCGAAGGGGCCTGCAAATGCCCACTGCCAGGTCCCCTTTTTGGCCTTGTCGCTGGCCTGGGCTCTCATGGCACTCTTCGCTGTCCTGTGGCTTCATGAAACTGCGGCAGGCTCGAAAGGTGGAAACTATTGGCAAAACGTGAAGCGTGTCATGGCTTTGCACTGTTTTGACATGTTTTGACATGTTTTGTGTATGCGATGGGGGATTTTTTTGGCCGGTTCCTGAATGCATTTTTGTTGCGGATCCCAGCGGTGATTTGCCGTATAGACTATTCATGATGTTGATGTTCCCGGTGTCCTGGGTGTTTTAGGGAAACTTGTTGTTTATTCCAGCAGTCACAAGACGGGGTGCTATCCATGGAGGTGGCATGGAGTGGCCAGCTACTCCACTCACTGGCTGGGACGAGCCACACCACCCCGTCTTGTGACTCCTGGTGATGTTGTTTGTGACTGCTGGAGCTGCAAATCCAAGGTGTGTTTTGTGATCGACATTTAGTGACCATACTTCTTACTGAGATTTTGGTGTTGAGCACCTATTACTCCTTCAATGCCAACGTGAGCTATCTCACGGAAGGTGTGTATGGCATGAGTACCGTCTCCACCTCTTGGATGATGGGTGCCTTTTCCCTGATCTCTGCCATCGGCATGATCATCGTCACCAACTCCAAAAGTCCGGTCTTATCAACAGCCGCCTGGCGCCAGGCGGAGCCGGGGACCAGTCCCAACAGGGGCAGTCCATCCAGGTGAGTCCATGTGAGTCCGCATATGACTGGTGAATACCAGGACATGTGGGCCGACACTGTCGGGGTGTCGAACTTGATAGCCCCTTATAAAGCCTTAGGTGATTCAGGGTGTCGAAGCACCATGACTGGGGCTCCTGGATGGTCCTGGTATAGCCCAGACACGACCCATGGGACTGCCAGTCCGGACTGCCGATCAATGCCTACCCCCAGTCAACCACCCCTGGCCGTGTTGAAGGCAGTCCGGACTGGCAGTCCCAAACGGGTCGTGTTTGGGGGTCCGGTTTCTGGGAGCCAAGGCCAGGCTTTGGATGACACTTTTCAGCCTCGGAGCTGGTGGATCCTTTGTGGTGGCAGCTCTCTTCTACCAGGACGATTTGTGGTCCTACATGGGCAGCTCCTTCTTGATGGGCTTCTTCTTGGCTTGCTATATGCCCCTGAGTGTCCTGTACCTGGAAAGGGTGGAGGATATCGCCGGCACAGCTGCCTCCTTCGAAGTCTTTGCACAAGCAGGACCTCCGGCGATCTATTCAGCCGTTGCAACACAAGGGATCATTCATGGAGGTCAGCGTGGCCTGACCGCGTTTCAAGCTGGAAGTACGTTGCTGGCGGGAATCGTGTTTTGGATCGGCTACTCCAACGAAGCAGCCGAAGAAGCGGACGAAGGGTGACTGGAAAGTGGGGAACGCTGGAGCCATGGCATGCCATGGCTGCAGTGTGTTTTTTGCAACCCCTCAAAAGACCTTCACTTTCCAACTTCGAGCGGAAAAAGGAGACTCCTGCGATCGCATGGCTGGGGACATCGAGTCACCGTCCTTTACCAGTCACAAGACGGGGTGGTTTTTAGACCCAGAAAGTGAGTGGATACAGAATGGGCGCCCCTAACCTTCATGGATAGCATCACTTTGGAACTGCTGGTTGTTGCATAGCAAACAAAGTCCTGGTTTTTGGTCGAGAAGTGCTCAGCATGTCTTGCAAGCTTTGCTCCAGGACAAGACATAGGTAACACAGGTGAAATGAGGAGAAATAGCGAAGTTTGAGATGTCTGGCGCCTGGGGTCGCTTCACATGGTTTCAGTTGAACACCATGTTCCAGCATCCCATCAGACTTTCCTGTCAATGAGTTAATTGCAGCACAGACTCACTTCTTCATGTATTTTTGCCCCCCCTAAGACGTGAGCAACGCATCACGATTGAATCAAGCCATGAGGAACTCCATCACGATGATCATGCCATATCATATCTGTGTCTCTTTTTGGCATGTCACACATCACATGAGTCACATGGCCCTGTGTTTTTTTCATCTTTTTCCCAACGGACATGCGACATGTCACCCATCTAGACTTTGCTTCATCCCCACAGACAGCACTAAAACATCCTCCAGCGCGGAACACCGGCGGAACACCGGCGGCTTGGCCGTCGTACTCGATGGCGGAATGGCCAAGCCATCCAAAGACGAGGAGGAGCCAAGTTCCCGGGGATTCCGCGACCAACGCCCCTATTTGGAACCGCCAGGTGCTGCAAGAGTTGGAACATCCAAATTGCAAGGTGTTGCATGTAGTTACCGGAATTCTACATGGTTCCATTATTTGTTGATCGGTGTTTTTGAAACCAAGATGATTGGAATTCTATATGGTTCCACACTGTTTTGATCCATGTGTGTTTTTCCCCAGATAGCTGCAGCCTATAGGGCTTCTTACTTCTCCATGGTGTGGTTCGGGATCGGCGTTTCGTTTTGCCCGTGCTGGTGCTGCAGCTGCTGCTGGAGCGGAGTTTTCGTTGGGGCGTGCACCAGCACAGGTGCTGGTGGTGCTATTTGGGGTCTATGCCGGTGTATTTGTTTAAAACAATATTAGAATTCTACAGAGACTGGAATTCTACATGGTTCCATTGTTATTTGCTCCTGTTTTTGAAACCCAGATGATTGGAATTCTACATGGTTCCACAGTTCCACTGGTTTGATCCATGTTTGTTTGGCGAATGTAAAATTGGAATTCGGCATGGTTCCACTGTTTGTCCATCCATGTTTTGTGAAATCAAGATCGGAATTCTACATGGCTCCACTGTTTGTTCATCAATGTTTTGTGAAATCAAGATTGGAATTCCACATGGTTCCAGATTCCACTGTTGTTTGATCCATGTCTTTTGAATCACTGTTTGTTGTCCCACTTTTTTTGCGTAGAAGATTGGAATTCTATATGGTTCCACGCATTGTTTATCATTTTTTGAATACAAGATTGGAATTCATGGGTCCATTGTTTGTTGATCCATGTCTTTTGATTGCAAGACTGGAATTCTACATAGTTCCACTGTGTTTAGATTAGATCCATTCTGTTTGAATACAAGATTTGACTTCTACATGGTTCCACTGTTTGTTGATCCAATTCTTTTGCCGTTTCACGTGAACACGCGGTTCGGTCACTGTCGTTCGCGTAACGGCAAGGAGATCGCCGTGCCCGCGCCGGTCTTCAGCGTTACTGCCAAGGACGACAAGGAGACGACTGCAGGTGGTTTTGTGGCTCACCCTCTTCTGACATGTGTGTGTGTGTGTGTTTTGAGACATTGCTGAAGATATTGTATCTATGTGAATTTCGGATGTTTTCGTTGCTCGAGCGTTACTTGGAAATGATTGAACCCACTGACCAAAGATATGAGTTAAAACGTGAGTTGAAAGGCACCTAAACCAGGACAAGATTGCCTTGCCCGATGCCCACGACCCGGTGACGGGGCATGGACGATGGCTTTATGAGGCAGTTGGGCTCCTCGTTGGTTGGGGTGGCACGGGTGGGATGCACCCACAATTGAATGTAGTTTATATTACCCCAGGCCTCCAAGCACCTTCTGAAGAGGTATTTGGAGGTATTGGGTTAATGTAGTGACCCCAAAAAGAGATAGAAAGTGAATAATCATGGTATATCTTCTCCAAGAAAGGGTCTCGAAATGTGTCTCTATCGTATTCTGAAGCCATGGGGACGCTTTCATCTCCTGTTCTGTTTGCTAGGGGTGTTGAGGTTTTTTTTACCTCACCTGACACAGGATGTCTGAGATGTCCCTTCACACCTGGATGAGGAAAATGCAGCGCCCGACGTCACAGGTCATTGGACCGATGAAGTCCCTTCCCAACCCTCGAACGAGGAGACCTCAGGGTGCTGGTGCTGGTGCACTTGTTGTTCGGCTCTGAACAAATACTGGTCGCTTGTCCGGTCTTAACCTCCAATGAGAGCTTCGTTGTGTTGAAGGTGCCTCAGATCGGGCTGACTTCCCTTGGATGTCCAGCCATCTCCCATGCTGGTGCAAGCGAAATTGAGCAGGACATTCCAAAACCGTGGAGTTCGAAGTGGTCAGAGAAGCTCCGAGTCTTTCTTGGACATCCAGCACTCGGAGATGTGCTTTTAATTCATATGGTTTTTCTTCAAACGATGCATGCAGGATAGAATTCTGCTGCAGACACGGAAAGAGCACCTTCCCCCCCCAAGTCACCTGCCAGGTCCCGCAAGTCCTCCCCAGGGATGACCTCATCCCACCCCCGCGCACCAGGGCCGACTGGGCGAGGGTGGCTTGGCCACCGTCTTCCGCGCCTGGGATTGCAAGGGCGGCTTGGGCTTCGTGGCGGTCAAGGTCCTGAAGAAGCACTCCAAGGCCAGCGAGTCTCGAAGCCGAAGCGACCTTGGTTGCAGTGGGTCGGAAGGCTCCCTATTGGGGGGGGGGGCAACCAAAAAAAACACACACCTCCTGGGGCGTCTTCTTTCGCGTCACTGGCTGGGTGGAAAAAACCATCACTTAAGGGTCAATGAACATGGACATGGACCGTTGGAGCCGGCTCCAGTGCGATGCTGGGGGCCTTCGCTTCAGCAGCGCGAACAGTCGCGCGCTGACCGAACATCCGGCGGTTCGAATAACGCGATGGCCGCGATGGAGCTGGTGGATTGACCGACCCTTTTGTCACGTTCAGAGAGATTCCCAGGACAATCATGATGTTGCCTGTTCTTGTTGTTGTTCTTGTTGCCTGTTCTTGTTCTTGTTGTTCTTGTTCTTGTTCTTCTTGTTGCTGGTGGTATAGGGCTTAGAGAGTGTAGGACTGTAATTAGGGCCACAGGCTTACAGCGTAGGGCTTCAAAAAGGACCTTTGAGAAAGGTTTTGTGACTAGGCTTCACCGAGACATAGCGAGATGAAATTGGCTTATCAAAGATCGCTGGCAGCATTCGAGAGCGAGACCTCTTCTGGAGATGGTGGGATGCGAGGGTTTCAAGATAGGGATCATAACAGACTAGAACTCACCCTATGGATCCCAATACCTTATCGGTACGGCTAGATGTCGCCCTCCGTCAGAGTGTTTTCGTTCTGTGGTTCCTCTCGGTATGTGGATCCAGAGAAGGTCAATGCTTCACAACCCAACCAACCACCATCGATGATCGAATTAGCTGGGATGTTCAATGTGCTTTTCATTATTTGTCCATTTGGTTTGACCGTTCCAGCAGTCAAATATAATCCTGTTCACATGACGCTCAGAAAAAAGTGTTGGTGTTGATTTGCCCAACGGTTTGTCAAACAGACATCAAGGTCGAACCCAAAGTTTCGATCCTTTTTCCATCTTCAAGTAGACCGATGTGACTCTCCGTGATCAGGCGCATGCGACACTCCGTGACCCTGACAGGCGCATGCGAGACATGCCTTTGCGATGCATCGGGAAAGCCAATGGTCCTTGGAGCGGCTCCACAATCGAGCTGATCCAAGGCGGCGCAATCGACGCGGGCGTCGCGTGCGACGACGCCCGCGAAGAAAGACCAATTCGGTTGTGAGGATTGCAGTGGCCGGGCAAAGACACGTGGAGCAGGTAGCTCTTGACGTCCCGTTTGAGAAGCGACGGTTGGTAGCTCTTGAGGGACGAGACCGGAAAACAGGACGGTCGACACCATACTTGGGCTCTTTCGAAGGTGGGACTAGGGGTATAGATAAATACAAAAGGCTGAGTGAGGGTGAGTCAGACATGGATCGATCCGTTGCTGCATGATGGAGGTACTCTGAAGAGCATGCCAAGCTCTTCGCAAGGCAGGTCCTGTCTTCAGTCTTTGTTTTCAATCCGTGGACTATGGCAACAGATGTTTTCGCAATCCCAGCTCTTGAAATGGCAAGTCAAGCAACCCTCAACTGTCGCCTGGTAAGTGCTATAAAAAGAATGGCATCCCAATACAGGATGGCATCCTCCATCCACCTAGCCCTAGCCCTCGTGCCCCCATCTTGAGGGCCACATGCTGGGCCGACTCCATCCGTTCCACCCTGGCCCGGCACCGGACCAAGCCGGGCGGGGACGTGGACGTGTAGCGCTTGCGCAGAACCCAGGTACCTGGAGGATCACACAGGCTTCGTGGAGCTGGGCCCGGAGGACTTCGAGGAACGGCGCAAGGACTTCGAGTCGCCCAGCTTCGATTGGTACAAGCAGCGTGCCTCGGACCCCCCGCGCGCGACCAGTGGAGGCGAGACAGAAGGAGTTCAGAAGTCAGAGAGGGTCGGTCCGAGCTCCCTGCGTGAAGAAGTTGGGTTCGGGGTCCCGGCAGGTTTGCGAGGTGGGGTTCTTTTTCGGGAGGGTGGAGCGGGAAGAAGTGAGTGCTTGAGTGAGAGTCAGTCATGACACTGTGGTTTTTGTTGAAGCGAACAACGTCTGCGGAGAGAGGTTTAGAGGCGAGGGTCCAGGGGCCTTCTTTTTTGGAGATGTTGATGTGGTGTTCATGTGGCTCTCAGAGAAGTCGGTTGGTGAGGAATGCCCAATTCTAGTGGTCTTTGAGGTCTTTGAGTAGAATTTATTGTGAAACCCATGACGCTCCATGTATGCAAATAGATACATTTCTTGGGTGGCATGAATGAATGAATGAATGGAGGCCATGATTTGCTTCCATGGAGCATCTGAACATGTGATACCTGCCAGGATCTTCCACCAAGTCCAACTGCTTTTTCCCTATCGTACCGAACCTCGGGTTCGGTACGACTGGACCCTCCAAATCTACATCGCGGTGTCGAACACATCACCGTACCTGAGGTTCGGTACGACTGGATCCGGGTTTTGGTTTGCCTTTTCAATCCTCATCCATCAGACCAGCCCACTTCGGCCCACTTCGGCTCGTAGCCGGCGGTCGCAGCCCGGTCCGGAGCCCGGAGCCGGAGCGTTCCCAGGTATTGATTTGCCCATTGCCAGCAAGCCGTACGCCCGAGCTCCCGGACCTGCGGCTTCCGGACGCGAGACAAATGGGACATGGCAGTGATCCAGAAACCCGTTTGGCCGAACAGGTCGCACCTTCGTTTCGTTTCGGTGGGGTGGGGTGGGTGCCATGTTCGGGTCCAGTCATACCGAACCTGAGGAGGTACGACTGGAGGTATAGGGGATATATATTGGATCCCACCAACAAAACAAGGTAATGACTTTGGTCAGACTTGGCCCCCATGGTCCGAGGTTGAGTGGAAAATTATCTCCCTTCCAAGTGAAAAATTGTGAATTCATGTGAATTCTATACAGCGTACATCAGGGTGCCTAAAACTAATAAGTTCACTGCAGCTATTGCTTTGTGCCAATCCTGGATCCGTCGACCCATCGACAAATGAGGTGGTCATGGAGCTGGTGAAAGGCGAGACTTTGCAAGTGGCGATGCCCAGCATGTCAGCGACCGAGAAGCGCCAGGCGCGGTGGGTACTTCGCCCCCCCTCTCACCACACCGAAGAAACAGCTACCGCCGCCCTGTCTTTTTCAGTGTTTGCCTCAAACCGCACCTCTTCCGCATCCAAAAGACCCGCCGGGCTAGGTCATTCTGCAGTGTGCCACCGCCCTGGAGTGCGCCAGCGCCAGGGGTCCGTTGGACGTTTGGCGAGCATGACAATGGGAAGAAGGGAGGCAGGCAAAGGTTTGGCCAGACACGACCTGTCCCCATCATGGAGTGTTTGGCTTTGGTCCGAGAGCGGTTAGCAAGAGAGAGAGAGAGATTATGTTCAATCGTTTTTCACAACGAAGAGACATGGAATCTGCGTAACATTGACAATCGTAGACCTCAGTTCCAAAACCAATACAGTAGCCTTTATTTGGTCAAGTCTTGGTGGAAAGCAATGATGAGTAGAAGAGTTCACAGAGTGAAACCACGAATCGTGCGAAACCCTGTTTGCCGCCGTGTTGGTTTCCATGTGAAGTCTGCATATGACAGACTTACATAGGAGGAACACTCACAGACCCAAGAGGAACACCTGAGGAACTCTCCCTCTCTCTCTCTCTCTCGTGATTCTGATGCAGACCCATGTTGTTCAAGATCAGCTTCCCTTACATTCCATTCCATCCAATATCCACACGACCCGGGACTTGATAGGGTCTGCCACAAAGAATGCATCAATCCTTACATGTCCCTTAGATCCTTACTCCCGCCGCATCCAGCCGCCCCATACTGGCCGACTGCCCCTCAAGGCCTTGGTAACTTTCACTTCACTCCAACGCCCCCCCCCCCCGCGGGGTCCATCAAGACGACGCCGCCTCCAGATCATGGAGACTCGCCTGCCGAGATCCGAGTTTTCACCAGGTACTTGGAGCGTTTCCACATGATCCACCGAGACTTCCGCGGCTGCAACATGCACCTCATCGCCGCTGGGTGGCGAGGTGTTGGCGCCGGAGGTGTTTGCGAACGGGAGTGGTTTAGCGGTTTACCTTTAAGCCGCGTTTTGGCAGAGGCGCAGACACGAAGACTGAAACATGAGATCAGACCCCAAATGTTAGCCAACATCATGGTGTAAATCCCAGAACTTATGTTTGCCCTCTTTGTTGATGCCCAAAGGATGTTTGCACCTCACAGGCCTTGCGATGCACACAACAGCCACTGGTGTGTTAGGTAATAGCAGCCCTCGCAACTAGAGTGGCAAACCAGCCACTGGTGTGGGTCGGTTTAGGCAGCCAAGCAGCTGGGTCGTCAGCCCATTCATCTCCTTTGTCCCTGGGGCCTGGAGCTTTCTCGGAAAAGGAAGCAATGTCTCGATCTGTCGACGGGATCCAATCCCTGGATCCCCCCTTCACATCATCTGAGTGGAAGCAAAAAGACCCCGACCTCCTCAGAATATGTGTCCTTACCCTATACCTCCAGTCGTACCTCCTCAGAAGGTATGACCGGACCCTCCAAACCCACCCCAAACATCAAACACCTTCTCAGAAGGTGCGACTGGAGGCCAAACGGGTTGGGATCAGGATTTGAATGACCAAGGCGCCAGGGTTTTTGGGTGACTCATCTAGCTACTTGACCGGTTCACGGACCGAACTCGGTCTCCTGGCGCCGACATCCCACAGGAGGTGTCTTTCGGTCAATTGACCATCCAAGCAAGCAGCATCAGTATATTGGGTGGTTGGTGGGGGGGGCTACCTGATACAGGTCACATCAGGTCACTGACGGTCGAGGTGAAGGATGTGATGTCGATATACGTGACCACATGTCACAGACCCCCCCAAGTCGTTCCCGCCTTCTGCGTGAGATTGAGATGCCCAAACCGCCTGCATTCCACGAGGCCCGGGAAAAGCCGAACGAGTCTTGCCAACTGAAGGCGCCTCCTCAGCGGCCGAATGGACTGCATCCGAATGGACTCACCGTGCCACTCATGGGTTCAGAGGAAAGCTGAGGAATCGACAGATTCATGGATATGATGAAGAATGGGTCACTGATCCGATCCCAAAGTTGCGGAGTGAGACACCTCACCTGAAATCTTCAGGTTCTTCCACTTTGAGATGAGAGATTCCCAAACTCAGTGAAGACTTCCCTCCCTCTAAAAAATCGTGGAGGTGGCAAATGCATGGTCCCTTGCGAAGACCATGTCCTCTACAAACGAGTGAACTCCACTTCCGGGGCACTGGGGGGGGTACAGCGTCCCTTGTTTGGAAGCACAGCCGTCCCGATCTCAGTGTCCGAACGCGACTTCGCAGTGCGTGCGCTCGGCGCTCGTTTCGACCAGATTTTGGATTTGGGCGTCATGATCTCTTCAGAGGCTCGGGATGACCGGCTCGGGATGACCGGCGTTGATCGGTCGGGGGGTGCGAACTCGCAGCGGCTCGGTGCTTTTGTTCGTCTGGCAGGATTCCAGGATGTTTCTTTGGATTTGGGTGACTTGAAAGAAGAGGTCTAATCATGTAGACTCTTGACCCCATATATGAAGGGGATTTCCCATTTCAATGGGGGGCTGTATTAACCAAGAGTCTACCTTACTTGAAAGGAAGATCATACACGGTGCGGCTGGAGGAAAATGCCATCGCAGGCTTCTATGGCCTAGGCCATTCAACGGCCAAAAGATAGGGGTTTGTGTTGCTGGTTTAGGACCTGGCACAGAGGCTGAAGGAAATGCTTCTCCGTGTTTTGCCAAAGGCATATCATCATATCATGATACTATGTTCTACTGTATGATGTATGTTTTAGCATGACCCGTCTGCGGTATAGCGGCCGTATGTTCCATTAGCTCTCAACTGTCACAGTGAGCGAAGCTGCCCCACTTGCAGGAGGTGCTTAGGTCTCTCACTCATCTCGCGTCTCCTTGGCCCAGGCATTGCGAGATCTTTGGATGGAGACCATCTTAGATGGGTTGTTTATAATAGGATTTATATAGACCATGGTAGACTGCAGTCTATATCCCAAACCTTGGGCCCCAGGATGTCTATTCTGCTGAGGGTCGGTCTGGTCGACGTCCCCCATCGACCATAGGACGGGGTTGCAATCGCACGACAGGCTGGCATGGAGGTGAATTGCAACATGGCCGTCCAGGCGGTCCTCACGTCATGGGACGCGTGTGCAGATGGTGTGTGTGTGTGTGAAAGTTGCAGTTCAAGGAAACATCCCCATGAAATCCCATGTTGGTTCTGTATGAAGTTCGAAACTTGGTTGTGCCCAGATTCTAGATGTTTGAAGAGGTTGAATTAGAGCTTGCATTTGCGTACGGTTTCTTATATACGATGAGAAGAAGGGGTTCGGGTCTGCCCGTAGGCTTCCGCTTCGAAGAGGGGAGGATCATGAGGATCCGAGGGTTCAGCTTCACATGCAGAGGCGGAAACAAAATTTGCTCAAGAACCAGTTCTTAGGAACACGCACAACTCCCATGTTCTCCACCATTTGGATCTGATCTGGAAAGAGGTATCTCACTCCAGGACCTTCAGTTCGTGACCTCTTTGGAGTCTCTAAGCTTCTGGCTGAGGCTTGTGATCCACTCCCACGTTCTCCACCTCCTTCCCACGCCGGAGCCAAGACCGACTCCGGACGGCACATGCCGTGGGTTGGAACCCGGAACTCCCGGAACCCGGACCTCATTCTGCTTGGAGTTGATCATACCAAAATCACGTGGCAAAACACCTGACGTCTTCAGCACCCGGATTGACTGGCTAAGTGGACCCTGTCGATCTCTCGCTGACATGTTAATTCCGCGTCCGCCCTCCGCGTCGCGCGAGGCCTTCCGGCGGCGTGGCGAGACCGAAGAGAAGCGGAAACGCTACGATTGGCTGCCATGGGAGGCCGAGCGGTGCCACGGTGCATGTGGTCGACCGGTGAAAACCGGGTGAAGACGAGGGTGTGAGGACGAGGCTGGTCGGAGGTGACCGCGTCCGAAGGATCAAGGACCCGACCCGTTCGGTGAAGGTTTGGTTCAGGGCCAAACCCCTGCGAAAAGCAGGGTCCAAACCCTCCAGAAGTGGTCGGGTCCAATGATTCTTAGATAGTCTTAGGGCAGTGACCAGGACCTTCAGTTGGTCGACTCCCAATGAAACCCGAAGAGCCAGAAATTCCACACACTCCATGGGACTGGCAGAATGATTTGTGCATATTATGTTTGCATGCATTATTGTATATTATTGTTACTTTGGGGTATTCCATACTGCATGGAGTGTCTGGGAATGGATGCTTTGTTTTCCTTTAAAGGATCTCCATTACCACATTGGATCAACCATGTGTTTAAACCGGACTGATTTGTTTCCAGACCTAAACGTTCCCAATGTGCGACACTTGGCTGGGGGTTGGTGAATTGTCCCCTCTACCGAGTTGGATGGTGGATTCACACACAGTTGATATATTAATTATTATTCCTTATTTAATTCCAAACAACTGCACCAAAAGCTCAGAGAATTTGGACCATCACCGGATCATCCCATTCATGTCCCCCGCTTCTTCCACACCAAAAGACATCGTTTGTGTCGCTTCCGATGCAACCACCACCACCCAGGCTGTTTCAGCTCCATGCAGGTCTCTTGGAGCCCAAGGCACCGCAGAGGGCCGGTTCCGCTTGCAGGTGCGCTCGGCCTGCGACGAGCTGCAGGGCGCGGTGAAGAACTTCGAGCCGCCAGGAGCCGGACACCGCCGGTGTCCGGAGGGGCCACACACTCCCGGAGGGTCCGCTGCGGTTAGGGCTATAGAGGTGCAAAACGAGGTGTTGCCGGGTAGATGAAGTAGTAGTGGGCATGGAGGTGGTAGGGACAGAGTAGGTGGGGGAGAGTGAGGGGATGAAGTGGCTGAAGATTTTCGGGGTGTGCCGAAAGATGCTGCCACTGGGGTTGTCGTGGTTGTGGTCAGTGACCATCACGAGGGGGGTACACGCATCTATCTTCGGTCGAGTGGCATTAGCTCGCGTAGCGACGTGGTTTCGACCTGGGTGCGGCAGGTGGGTCACGACCCACTCGGGTACGTTGTTGGACTGTTTTGTGTGATACGTGGCTTGTGTCACTCCCATGACACGACCTGGAAATAGAAACATGCCAAATCCGCCCCTGAAATCAATCCGATTGAACCAAATCAACCATGCACCAAAAAGAAACACATGCACAACAAACATGCAAATCTGGTTCCAGTTCAGTGGACGAAGTCGTTTGGATCGTTTGGAGTGTCCACTGGGAGGACATTCCTTCGACGCCTTTAGCTTGGGAGTCCCTTGGCGCGCGGCCGTCCGGGAGCGACCGCTCCCTCGACTGGGGCGGGAAGTGACGTCCCTTGGGCGGGCGGCGGAGCAGAAGGAGCCCTTGTGCCGAGGACCAGAAAAAAGGGGGAGTCGGATGAATTTGGGGAAGAGGTGAGTGTAATAGCTATATACCAGCACCACCCAAAGGGTGGTTTATAGACCCCCCTGAAGATGTATGTTCCATCTAATATCCACCCCTTGGGTGGTGCTGGTATAGATATATATAATAGTTGAGTCATGATGCAGTCATCATGCAGTCATCCATTGAGTTTTCAGACATATATGTGGGTGTAGACGATGTCGATGATCATAGATGATCGCTTGGGTCGTTGTTCATCGACTTGGATGAGCAGTGGCGACGCTTCTGGGATCCAGCTCTTGGATGCTTCTGTTTCCTCGTTGCGAAGTCTGGCACCTTCCTTCACTGCCTGCTTCGCTGGAAGCCACTCAACTCGCTGGACCCGACTTGCACTCGCACTCGGTCTCCGCGCGGCGTTCGAAAAGGTCTTGATTCTTCATCTCTTGCTGGGCAAGACCAAGGCGACTGAATTGGCGCAAACAAACAAATGAGGTTTGGGATATGGACTTCATTTGACATGCAAATTCCCCGAAGACAAGCTCTTTTCTGACTAGGATGACTCAAATCCTGTGGAAGTGAGCATGCTTTGAAACGCAAGACTCAGCTTCTAGCTGCCAGGGGTGCGGAACGCGATGTTTGCCAGTGCCTCGCTCAAGTGTTTCTTTGCCGCGATGTTTGCTAGGCCAGATCTGTTTTGGACAGCCTCCAAGATCATCCAGAAAGGCCGAAGCCTGAGAGGCTAAAACTGTGCTTCTCCTTCTTCCTCTACAGCATTGGGGGTATTAAACAGAGAGCTTCTCAAGTGATTCAACTTCCGGGCTCTCCAAACACCACGATGTGATGGAAGACTTCGCTCGGATTCGTGGACAACCGAGGACGCCGGATGGCTGTGGCATCGGTGTACCAAAAGAATTGCTGGGTAATTTGCTCGCAGAGGCCGAGCTGTTTTGCTAGCAGAGAGCAGAGAGCAGGGAGAGCAGCTGTTTCGACCAAACCCGAAAAGAAGGTGGGCCAGGGGTGGGTGGGTGCCAGGGGGGTCTGTCCCTACCTTTTGAGGATGTGAGCCGTATGGAACCCAAGCAGGAAATAAATCGAAGACGTTGAAGATTTGGGACACCACCCACAATTAGGTCCGGAGTCCACCTGTCTAACGCGGCCAATTGGTTGGCAATACGAACCACCTTTCTTCCATTTCATCAACCCAGATGCTCCGTTCAGCCCGACTGGGGATTGGTTCAAATCCAGACCCCTCCATATGAGGGTCCGACCCTTTGATATAAGGGTCCATGAGCGTCTGGGGTACGAACCACCGTTGCTTCCAGTTCTTCAACCTCTTTCATGCCGTGAATCCCTATGATCCTGTCTATTCAGAACCCTTCCGAGAGCTCTTCAATTCCAAGACCTCTTATTACCCATTCAGTGAAACTCATTGGCCAAGTTATGGATATGTGCAGCAAATGCCTCCTGAAATCAGGATACCATGCAGGCCCACTCAGTTTCCCATTTGACCAGCCAATGTGTATTTATAGGCGATCTTCCTTCCCAATCTGTTCCCTTCATTCCTCATTATCCTGTGAGCTTGTTTGGGTCTTATGTGATCGGTATCCCGATTGCATGCAGCTGCTCAGACCCACCTCATTGGCCATATGTTTGTCAATCCCTGTCCATATCCTTAAAGCACCTAAGATATGCAGCTCATGCACCTGCAATTCTTGGCCCTCATTCATAATCTCATTCAGCTTCAATACCTGCAGTCGATTCAGCTACTCTTTTACAACTCTGGCAATGGCAGCCACCTTAATCCTCTTGTGTTTCAGCTTTTGCCCAGCCAAAATGATCCTCTCCTCATGCTTCTTCAATCTTCTTCATCTTTCTGATCCAATTGCAGTATGAATTGCAAGTTTCAATGCCTTGGCCAATTTGCTCAATCTTGTCAACCAATTCTTGCTCATATCCACAGCCCATCCACAAGCAGCTGGCACGTGACCGGTGGCCAGTTGGCCACCTCCTGCAGGCCACTGGATTGATGGCTCCCAGTCATCAGCTGGAGTCAGCTCGGGTCAATCCACCGGATGAACTCATCTATCCAGGACCTTCAGTTCGTGATCTCTTTGGAGACCGACCACCACAAATTCGGCTGGGTTCCACTTCATACTCAGTTCAGTAAGTGATCTGTATTACCTCTATACACCTCTTCAGGGACGATTCATGACCGACCCACTGGGATCCTCACCTCAGTCGACGACGGTCCATGCAAAGCGTCCGGTGGGGTCATGGCATGGGGGGGGGGCCCTCTGTTGTATACCAACCGAACAAATGAACAGAATAGGCGCCCAGCTTTCATGGTCTGGTTCAGACCCAGTGACAGGGGCAACCGTTGCCAGATCGCCATATGGTGCTCTTGGGCTTTTCTCGCCTAGTGTCACTGCAAGTCTCAGAGTCATGAGTCAACAAATCGTAATGCCTGATGGCACTAATGGCCTCATGTCCAGCACCGAAGCTTAATCCCTAAACCCAGCATTCGAGGGAAAGACTTGTTTGATCTCACTTGTCTTCATGACCTTTCTGAGTACCATTTCTTTGCATTGCCACGATCAATGACATGTCCACCATGCTCAGAATCCTCCCTTTTCAACCAGCCAAGAAACTCTCCTCCCACCGCCCGCTGTAGGCGGCGAAGCGGCCACGGCCACGGGAGGTGTGCGCTCAGCTGGTGCCGTTGAGGCGACGGTGCAGGGGCAGGTTGGGAGGGGTGGAGTGTTCCAATATAGATCAGTTAAGATTGAAATTACACACTTCATACTTCATTGTGCACGTTGAAGCATTTCGTGGCAGAGCTTTGTATCAGATTGCTTTTCCGCTTTTCCATGCTTTTCCCTTAGGGGATATTGTAAAGAGCCATACGCTGGTGCATTTTCAGGTGGTTGGACCGCTCTGGCACCTACCCCAACTCCCTTTTCAGGAGGTAGTTGGAGCCCTAGGGTTTAGTCAGTTTTCCAATTGACCCGCAGGTCCAGCTGACCGGCAGATGCATTTGGTCCAGACTCGTAGTGTAGACACTACGCGTCAGAAGCAAAGATCGACAAAAACTTCACCGTTGATGATTCTTCGAAGTTATTTTCCCAACTAAGTTGCTTTCGAAGGTTCTACCCCTCAAATCCTCAGAGTGTGTGTTTTGGCCCAGACTCGTAGATCAAGGGCCCTGAAAGAGCAGCAAAAGTGTTCACGAAGACCACCCACGCCTCAGCACTTTCGGGTGCCAGGCTGAAATCGCCTCAGAAAGAGGCCAGGCGCATTGATAAAAGGTCCCAAACGCAACCCCTTCGGCCCCGAACCTACGGAGGGGTCGGACCCGAATCCGAACTCGTCAGGGGTCTGGGGTCGAACCAATCGTTTTGAGAGGCCAAGGACTGTGAACGGAGCCTCTGGGCTGTATTTAGCCATCTGAATCGTCCATGAGCACTACACTCCTGTTTGTACACATCACGATGGTGGAAGTGGAGCGAAAATCCCCTGTTTGTAGAAGACAGTCGTCTTCCGTCTGGTCCGTATGTACCTCGTTGGATGCTTCCCGAACCACAGGCAGCATGCAGGCAGCATGCATGAGTTAAACAGAAGAAGGCAGCTGGCGACCTCGACAGCTGGTTTTCAATTGTGACACATGTTAGGGAGAAGGTCGATTCCTCGATGATCCCACGATGGTTCGATGGGTTCCCAGATGCGAATCACTTTGACTCAGGAAACATGGAACTGGATTTCAACGCCTGTTTTGGTATCGATAGGGATCCACTGCCACCTACAAACAGCAGGTACGACGCCACACCCTCCTGGCACCCACTGTTCACAGTGTCCAAAACATCGCTGACTCAATAGGAGGGTGGTAGTGGATGCCTCTAGAACATGAACCATTGGTCCTTTGCAGTGGCCCAACACCATCCACTTCGATCTCCAGCCGCTCCAGCCGGACCGGCTCCGGGCTGCGTGCGCCCTCCGGGACGCGTGCGGCCTCCGGGACGAACAGGCGGCGGTCAGCGCGGAGAAGGCAGAAGCCACTCCTGCAGTTCCGTGGGATGACTCAGATGTGAAGGGTAGAGAGGTCGAACCAAATGGGGGTCGCATGCCTCAAAGCAGCAGCTTGAGGCTTCAGGTGTTGTTGTACTGTAGTTGTACTGTAAGTTACTCATATGACTCATATGTAGTCTGACTGGCAGAGAGGTCTGAGTTGATGTATGTTGATACCAAGAGAGTGATACCGCCGGGTCTACATCGGGGTGATGCTCATGGTCTTTCGATGTCATTGATTTCAGGCTAGGATGCCCTAGGATGCCCTATGCAAGGTGCATTAGAGATCCAGGTACACTAAGAGGCCAGGTACACTGCCATGAGTTTCCCTCAAACATGTTGATAGGCTAGTTGATAGGATTGGAAGTATTGTTCTCAGCAGTTCTTCTGGCGGGGTAAGCTCATCACGAAAGCTAGCCTTAGCTAGCTGGAGTTGCTCTTGCTTTAGCAAGTTAAGTGACGGGGTGGACGCACCTCAGAAACCTCAAATAATTGATTAAATCTGCAAGGTTCAACGCTCCTATTTTCGAGCATAAAAGCGGCTGTTGAGTGTACACTTCTCGTTTTGTGCGTGTCATCCTTTGCGGACCAGCACTCCTCCCTGGTCGTGCGTTTAGCATCTGACCAGCATTCGAAAATCGAGCCGTAGGCTCAAACCGCTTCAACCGCCACACACTTTACATTGGCGGATCTCAGTCATCGGTCCCGTGACCGCATTGCACCGAGCATCGGTGTGGAAGTTGCCGAGCTGGTCCTCATAGACGAAGTTCGTCTCTCGAAGACTTCTCTGGCCTCTGGTGGCCCTTTGACAGGCTCCACACACCGGCTGTTCATGAACTCGGTTGGCCTTGCTCAATCCCCTGCAGCTCCGCTGTCTATGGAAGCACTTGCTGGACTCCGCGAACCAGATCTTCCACGTTGGCTCATTGGGGAATCGCCTCCTCCTCCCAGTCAGGGTGATCTGCAGATGATGCCCTCCAGGTAGGTCAGCTTGATTCGGCGGCTCCTCTTGTGGCTCATTCAACGCGGGATCCAGTCTCCCTTGATGTCCATTTTCAATGCCTCCACCCATCCTGGTACCCCTTGGTGATGAGGATGAAGCACTCTGCTCTCCATGGTTCATTTGCTGCCACTCCCCATCATGTTGACGTGGTTCTCGATCTCCTCCTCCTTGAGGTCTGGTAGAAGTCCTTGTCCCGGAAGAAGATTGACCAGCCAGGCGAGAGACCCTCACTCTACGCGTTGCCGGATCGTCCTCCACCCGGTTCCAATGCAAGCGGCATTTTTGAATGACCTTCATGAGCACCATTCCCAGCAACATCATCATGACGCTGAGGAGGTACAGGATCTGGTCACCCTCCACATTCTCATCAACATTCTTGGTGACATTCTCAGCCATAGCTCCATGCACTTCCTTAAGGGCCGACAGCACCACGACAAGCCTCATGGCCTTCTCCAAGTGGTACTTCGCGACCAACTTCATAGCCCTTGGTGCGACAATGCCCTTGTCCTCCTCATGTACTTCGTCCACTGAGTCGGGCTGCCATGACATTCCCATCCGTTGCCTCAGCTCGTTGACCCGGGCCACTGGCAAAGACTTGGTGCCGATGTCCGCGATGAGCTCTCTTCCAGGCTGGTACTTCAGCTCCCATTGACCAGACTGGATCCTCCATTTGAGGTGGGCGGCCCGGACCTTCAAGTGTCTTGTACGCCACGCTCCAGTTGCACAACTTGCTATTGAGACTGCAGCAGTGTTGTCACACTTGAGGAACTTCGGGACGTCCTTCGCCATCTCATCAACCAGACATGCGATGCTATCTCCCACAACCACAGCTTCGATGACCTCTATGAGCTCGGCCTCCGCGGTTGAAAGGGCGGGGAACGGCTGCTTGCAGCTCTTCCATGCCACCGGTGCTCCGGCCACCGTCGTGATCACACAGCCATGGCTATGAGCACCTCCTGGAGCGAAGGAGGCATCACTCACTGACTCCAGGATGAAGTTGGCGTCTCTTCGGTACCACAAGCCCAGGCCCTGCGTGGCATTCAAGTACCTGATCAGCTGGTATGCCGTTTGGATCGCCCATTTTGGAGCCCGGCTCGTCGCTGAGCAGATTCGGCTGACCGTGTAGGCGATGTCCGGTCTCGTCTTCGTTGCCAGCCACAAAAGTTCTCCTCCGAGTTGTTGTGCCTCTCGGACCTGCAAGGGCGTGCGATCCAGCTCATCCTCGGGTTCCTGGGATTCCTTCATCATCTGAGCGCTGCAAAGGTCCTCCATGCCATGTCGCCGAACCACTTCCCTCAAGTAGGAACATTGATTGGCAAAGAAGTCTCCTTGTTCAGTTCGGCTCAACTCCATTCCACAGTACCGAACTGGTTCACGATCTCCCACCCACGTAGGTTCGGACGTCTCCCAGGTCCTTCGAAAGCTCTGGAGCCCTTGCTCCACCATCTCTCTGGTGCCGAAGAGCATCACATCATCCACGTACACCAAGGCGAGTCCCTCCACCAGATCTCCATCTCCGGCATCCTTCCTGCGCACCAGCCACAAGTTCTCCTCCGCGAAACTCTGCTGGTACTCATATGTGATGGAGTTCACCTGAAAGGACATCTGGCTGATCTCGATGTCCCTGTAGTCCCCCCAAAGCTTCGGAGACTCACGCAAGCCATACAGGGCCTTCTCCACCAGCCACATTTCCCCTTCCTTGACCAATCCCAGTCGAACGAGGATCTTCGGAGGAAGCATGAGCACCAGTCGTTTCCTCTTCGTGAGGTCCTCCTCCTGCTGCTCTTCCTCGGCCATCTCTTCTTGACCATCGTGACCTCCTCCAGCCTCTTCATGATCCTCTTGTGGTCGACCATGGGCGTCTTCCAAGGCGAGGGCTTTCTTCCGGCTGCTCTCCTGTAGCGTTCTAAGAGGAGCATTCAAGAAAGCAGTCTTTATGTCCAGGCTAGCTGCCTGCCAGCCCCGCGTAGCAGCCAGTGCCAGAGAGGTCCTCAAGCATGTAGTGTCCGCTCCACCTGCGTAGAGTTGTGCTGCCTCCGATCGATCTCCAGGCCCTCTTCCAGCTCCTTTCAGGTAGTTTCCACACACCACCAGGCGACACTTCCTACGTCCATCCGGGGCCTTGACGGCATGTATAGCCTTTCCCGGGACCACCTCCACCTTGTCTCCATGTTCCCTCTGGTAGTAGGCCACTTCTGCGGGAGTCAGTCGCCGAATCGCCTTCTTGCCCTCCAAGGACTGGATCTCCTTCATAATGGCCTCCAGCCACAGCTCCCGATCTTTGTACACCTCATCGTTGGGCACGATCCGGGCTTGGAGAATCTCGTCTTCCAAAAGTCGTTGGGTCGATGCCATCTGCTCTTGCCGTAGTGCAACCAGGCCTCGACTCAACGGAGGAACCTCCCTAGGAGCAGATCTCAACAGGTGACCCTCCTCCTCATAGATGGCTTGAAAGAGCATTCGACGATCCTCTTCCCTTTGTAGGTCTTCTTCTCCCTGTATGCATGCCAGTGGTGTCTTCTCTCTCAACCTCCAGCGAAGCCGTACAGGATCATCTCGGATATGGACCTCCTCCATGACCAAGTCTCGTTCGTCAGGCTTAGGCTCCTTGACATCCTTTATCAAGTAGCTCACCACCTTGACCTTCTCCCTGTCCGTGAGAACTGCATGTCCTTTCGACACCTGTGGGGTAGGAGTCAGGTAAGTCACCGTCTCGGATGTCGCTTCGAAAGGTCCTCCTTGCTCCCAGGCTCGCTTTCTCACTGTGATGAGCTGCCCAAAGCGTGGTAGAGTCTCTTTGATGTTCTCTCTTCTCCTTCTTTCCAGCTCCGTCACATGTCTAGCCGCTGCCGGCCACCACTTCGTGGGCATGCCTGAAGCATGTAGAAGTCGACGGACCCTTTGCTTGATCGACGCAATCATGGCCTCGGCACGTCCGTTTGACTGGTGTTCATCCGGAGGACTGAAGGTTCTAGCCAGCCCCCTCTCCAAGCACCACCTCTTGAACGGGTTGTTGTCGAACTCCCGGCCTGCATCGGTATGGATTCTAGCCACAGGGTAGCCGTGGCGTCTCAGCATTCCAAATAGTTCCTGCGTTCCAGCAAGGACTTCTGCTGAGCTTTTCGAGGTCAGTGGAAGGCAAATGGACATTGTGATCAGCTTGTAGACCTTCTGGTGCTCTTCAACTTCCTCTGGAGTCTTTGGAGGTGGCACCGATGGTGGTTCTGGTTGACTGGGTCCTGGATCAGGCGGCGGCTCTAACTGATCACCGTCTCCTTCGCCCTGCCGTTCATCCTCCTCCGGCTCACCCATCTCCAGATCTTCGCCCTCATCTGACGTAGGTCGATAGGACATCTCTTCCCCATGAGCTTCCAGATCTTGAGCCAGGTCGTACTCCACCTCCCGAAGAGCCTCCTCTTCCTCGAGTGTAGGCCAGTCCTTGTCTGGAATCACCTCGAGCTGTTCAACCTCGTCCCATGGTGCCTCCTCCATGACCGGCCACGTGTATGCTCCAACCAGGAGGTACTTCTTGAGGTCGCCGTCAATGTCATGGCCGAGCACAAATGGTCCTGTCAGATCCAGCGACAGCACGCACGGAGCCGCTATCCCTTGAGCTCGATGTGGTCGATCCCTTGCCGCTGCTCTCTGACAGACAGCGCAGTCTCTGCGGAACGGCACATGCCCCTGGGCCAGGTGTTCCTGCCAAGACAAGGCCTTCATCGTCACCCGCCTCTTCTGGATGTTGATTGTGATGCTTCTTGCGATCTCTCGCATCATTCCTGGGGCCCATCTCGCCAGTTCGGAGCTCGACACCTCACGCTTGGTCTTCAGGAAGGCCTTGGGCGGGCCCCGATCCTCGGGAACCATGAACTCCATGTTCAATGCCAGTGAGGTAGGTTTCACCGCCATACCACCATAGGCACCCTGGTTGAAGGTCACCATGTCCAGGTTGAGATGCTCTTTCATTACCCTCCACTCCTCGGTTCTCCAGAAGGATGCCACTTCCGGCATGTGCTGAGGCGCTGCAGGCTGCTCCATCAAGAACCTGACCGTTGGCAGCAGCGCGGAATTCTTCTCCTGGGACAATCGTGCATCTCGACCCAGCTTTGCCACCACATAGAGCGTCACCATACGCAACAGCAGCACATCGTCCAAATGGCACTTTGCCCTCTCCACTTCATCCAACTCGTCCAAGCCCCAGGGTCTTCCCAACGATCTCGATGGCCCTGGTAGTCCTGTGACTGGATGATGTCGTAGTTCACTGCGGGTCCTGCAGTTGGGTCCACCGATCACCGCATCAATCCATCCCAACATTGCAATCCTCAGCAGTGCTGCATACATTGCATCGTCCTTTGACATGTCATGACCTTGGTTTCGAAGGATGTCCACCTCCAACAATCTCGTAGTGTCTCCGCCCGCCTCCTTGAGAGCCCTGGTGAGGTCGTAGCCCTCATTCTTCCCAGCGTAGAGATGAACCACGACACCCTCGTTTTTCCAGCGCTTGCGGATGCGTCGATTGACTCCAAGGACCTCCAGATTCCTTGCTGGAGAGTCCACCAGGCGATCCTTGATTCGGATCGGGACCTTGTCGAAGATCGGACAATCTGCCACCACCCGGTCCAGCCAGTCGACGTCATTGTGAGTCTCCCCAAATCGGTAGCACCTCAACGCCGTTCTCGACCGAGATTCCTCCAGCTCCCTGATGAGGTCCAACGCAACATCATGGTCCATTTGAGGGCATCCAGCTTCAACCCTAAGGTCAATGTTGCCCTTGACCGGATGCTCCAAGGTGCACGCTTCTCCCATCCATTCGATTCGACATCCCAAATCACGAACCAGCCTTCCCGCCGGTACAATCGGCTCCACATTCTCACTGTTGTGGACCAGCGTCTCCCCTTCTGTCATTCGGATGTCTTGTGCTCCTCCAGCAGCCAACGTCACCCTCACCTGGCGATATCTCTGAAGATCTTCCCCTCGGAGCTTGGGCCTCAGAGCGTGCGTTGCCCCGGAATCCAGAAGTCCTTCTCGACCTTGTTGGACTCGAGCTATCTTGACAGCCCGTAGCTCTGGGCCACCTTTCTCCCATGCTCGATTCAGCTTCTTCAACGTCGCACCAAGGTCCGTTGCACGATCTTGCCCTTCTTCTTCGAGGTTCATGCCCTTGAGCAACTTGTGCGCCTCATCAAGCACATTCTTGATCGGGTCTGCAGTTTTTGTCGCTGCATCCGATACCGCCTCCGAAGTCACCGACTGCGAAGATGCTGCTTGAGGAGAAATTGAAGCCCCCGACTCACTCCGCGAGGTCACATTTCCACCACCACCAGTTTTGTCCAGCAGCTTCTGAAGCTTCGGTTTCTGGCCAGATGGAGGTCCTTCTCCCTTCTTTGCCGTCTCTTTCCTCGGACAGTCTCGAGCCAGATGTTGTGTGGCCCCGCACGTAAAGCACCTTCTCTCCTGGTTCTGCTTGTCGCCAGTCTCCAGTTGATGTGCCCATTTGCACGACTGCCCTCTTCGACATCCAGACTCCGTGAGGAAGTATCGACAAGGACCCTTCGCCGATGTCGTTGGTGAGTCCCCCTTCTTCTCTCGATCTTCCCCTTGTAGTGCCTTTACTGCCAATGGTCCACCTCCCTGATTTCCAGGCCTCGTAGTGCTCGAAGACGGTCGGACTCGGTGCATGAGTTGTTCAAGTTCAGCAAGTAAATGCTCAGCATACGTCCGAACAGTCTCCTCATTGGGGATGGTATCAAGCTGCAAGGTGTTTTTGACCAAGGCACATCTGAATTGCAGATCCGGTTGTTGAGTGAGGATCCGCTTGCTGAGTTTGTTGATGCCCTTCATGAGGATGATCGCATCAGGAAGATTCAGGCCAATGTCGGTGGCCCTCCTTAGCCAGCGCATCCAGCGTCGGAGCCCCATGCAGGCTTCGCTCGGCGACCCTGCTTCTGGCGGATCTTCAAGTTGCCGCAGGATGATGGTGCGCTCATGAGCACCACCTGGTTGATAGAGGACCATGAGTTTGCTCACCAGCCCCAGCGGCGACAAAGTCCTCGTTGCTACCAGTTCCTCCTTCACTGTCGTGGGAACTGAAGAAAGCAGCATGCTGATGGCCCTCTTTTCCACTCGAGCCCACTTCGGCTTTTGCAACTCAGCAGACGGCTCGATCTTGGATGATGCCCGCTGAATTGGACGAAGCTTGATGTACTGTTTGTACCAAGCCCTTGCTTCGCTCACCACCAACTCCCACCACTCGCCTGACGAGTCGCTAAGGTCTGTCATAGCCGGTTCCACCATAGTGAGCCAGTCAGCGAGGTCGATGGGAGCCGTATCGGATGGCTCTGCCAGGACTGGGAGTGTGGCCGTCCCCGGCTTGACCGACTCCGGTCCTTCTTGCTTCTTGTCCTTGTCGACCAGGTAGGTGATCAGCATAGACATCGCATCAGCCATGCCACCACCGTGCTCTCTTGATGGTTCCTCCCGAACATTTGCAGTTGAAGATCGACCAGGCTGCTCGGCTGTGGCTTTCTTCTTTGGCTGACCCACGCCTTTCCCGGTCCCTTGTCTCCCTTCCGGTTCGAAGCCCTTCGCCCGAGATGCCACCAAGCCCTCAGGTTGACCTCCTCCCTGACGTGCAGTCCTCGGACCTTGAGATCTTGACCTCTCTCGTTGTCCTTGCCCCCGACCACCTCGCTTTGCTGGCGCCGGAGTGACCGTCCCCATCAAGGATTGGAGCTGCTCGAACTGCTGCATGGGAGTCAACTCATACAGCCGGCGTCTTTCCACCTCCAAATCTGTCTCTCTCGGAGGCTCGTCGACCGTCAATTCCAGCTGACGATTCACAGGCTCATCGCTTTCTGGCGTTCTGAAAGCCTGCTGCTCCAGCTCACGTTGTAGGTCATGGACTTTGGCTTCCAGGCTTGCCCTCTGGTACTTCATGGCGTCCATGAGCTCTGCCTGCTGAATCTGCAGTTGTTGATTCTCCTGTTTCAACATCGCCAACATGGTCATCATCTCCTGTGGATTCGGCGGACCAGGGCCATAGGGATGTAGCTGAACTTGCCATCCTCCTTGATGCGGCATAGGTCCCCTCCTCTCTTCATGGGGCATGATGTACCCAGGTGGGCCAGTTTGTCCAAAGCCTCTCGGAACATGTAGACCTCTTCCTCCAGGCCCGTTCCCTTGGATCTGAACCACCGATTGCTCTCTAGGTTGGGGAGGTTGTCGCCCATCGCTGTCACTTTCAGGCTCTTGTACTTCAGGTACCCGTGGTTCTCTTGTTCGTCCACGTCGCTGGTCATCTGGTACATGATCGCCCACCAGTGCCGGTGATGGTGTCCCCGTCGTTGTGCTTGTCTGCGGAAGCACTCCCACTGCACCTTCTTCTTTCGGCAGGAACGTGGGTCTCTCTTTCTGCACCTCCTCTGGCGACCTGTTTCCCATTCCAGGCTGCCAAATGCTCTGCCTCGGGACTTGAGCATACAAGTGAGGAGCTTGGCTCTGCACTTCATGAAGTCCCTTCAGCTGTTCCGGCGTGAAGAGTGGGGTCATCGGTGTCAACGTGGTCGGCGGTCCCTTCGGACCTTCCAATTTCTCTTCCCCTTCTTCTTCACCATCTTCCAACGCCAGCTGCTCCTCTTCTAGCTGCCGCTCTTGTAGGTGAAGGCCTCCCTGATCATCAGGGTCTTCTTCTCCACCTTCGCCTGGAGCTTGCCGGCGGCGCCTTGCCATCATGGCCATGGCTGCGAAGAGCGAAGGGCCGCCTTCCCCTTGCCGGAAGGTCTTACACCTGCGAACTTGGGCTCATAACCTGCAAGGTTCAACGCTCCTATTTTCGAGCATAAAAGCGGCTGTTGAGTGTACACTTCTCGTTTTGTGCGTGTCATCCTTTGCGGACCAGCAAAATCAATCTTATGGACCCCCCCCCCCCCCCGCTCGGCCCCCCCCCGCGCGCGGTGAGCGGGACCACCAAGCAGCTGCAGCACACCAAGCATCTGCGCCCAGCGCAGCAGCGGCAGCAGCAGCAGCAGCACCAGCAGCAGCAGCAGACCACCCAGCGGCGGCAGCAGCAGCAGCAGCATACCCATACCCAACGCCGCGGCAGCAGCAGCAGCAGACCACCCAGCGCCAGCAGCAGCAGCAGCAGACGACCCGGCGCCTGCAGAGCACCCAGCGCAGCAGCGCCCAGCGCAGCAGCGGCAGCAGCAGCACCAGCAGCAGCAGCACCAGCAGCAGACCACCGGAAGCCCGGCTAGCTTTCGTTCACCCCCTCTGGCCTCAAGTGACCTTTCTTGGTTGGTTTGCCGAGCGACGAAAGGAGCTGTCACACTGTGAGCCTGGATCTCAGAGCTTTTGCGTGTCTTTGGGGGTTGCAGACATATGATGACATATGCAGGGTGCAGAGGTTTTCGGAGCATTCCAGTCGAACTTGTGTTAGGACCTTTGGGAGGTCAGCGATGGAAATCTGATGGAGCATGTTGGTGAGTTTTCCAGAACAGAAGTGGAACAGAGGCAAAAACACGACGTGAAACGGTTGGATCTTTGTTTGACTTGATACCACCGGAGAACACGGACTGACTCTCGGTTTCTTGTACCTGAACGACGCCCGATAACGACTGATCACTCGGTGCAGAACAACATGGGTTTGTCTTCAGTGAAGTACGTATATACCGGATACCAGACAAAGTTTCGGAGATCAACACGAGCGTGGTGAAGTTAGCACTTATGGTACACAACCTTCAATGTTCGACCAAAGGGTTGATTCTGAGCATCAGAAAGGATGCACCAGATGCAACCCGGTGGACATGCTGGCGAACAAGAAAGGCAAGGCTGCATGGTGCATGTTTGGAAGGTGACTTCTTCTCGAAGTGCAACCCCCAAACCTGGAGAATGTAAACGCAGCTTCCAACCCCGGCAGACGAAGCAGGTCCCTTCGCCCAACTCCCGTTCGAACTACTAGAGTTCATGTTCATCCTTCTTCCAGCCTTGTTTCGAAAATAAAAACGTCCTCCTCCCAACTCCCAACCTCCCCCCCCTCCACCAACCCTGCCCGGTCCGGGCTGATCTTGTTCGTCGATGTCAGACCGGACCGCAAACCTGCTCTTGTTCGTCTGAAGGGACGACCCGTCGGAGGCCATACGACCACGAAGATGGAAGGCAGCAGTGATGAGGCCCGACCCCCCCACCCAACCCGCGACGCCCCCGCGGTGGTCGGCGCTCGTCGGTGCTTCGATGCGCCAGATCGACACGACGAAGGGGACTGGAATGGATGCCGCCCTAGACAGACCCCCCGACTTCAACCACCCCTGGCCGTTTGGAAGGCATCTATATGGCAGTCCCAGACAGGTCGTGTTTGGGTATGGACACTTGGATCTTCTTGGCTTGGTCCTGCTCCCGTTGGTTCTTGGCACTGGTCTTTCCAAGGTTTAGGCCCAGGATTCGCAGAGATCACCCTCCATCTAATTGAACTGTTATATATCCCAGACACGACCCATGGGACTGCCACTCCGGACTGCCGATGACTGGGGGTCAATGGGGCGGCAGTCCTATGGCAGTCCCATGGAGTGTCTGGGATAGTTAGATCTAGATCTTCCAACTGCGTAAACACTTATTAAGCCTTTCCATTGCAAGCCAGAAGGAAGAGTTGGAGAATCCAGGTATAGAATGGTTCAGGCAATTTAGTAGACAAGGACTTACCCACAGAGTCATTCTCCCACCCCATGAATGATAGGGTGTTTGATTCGGGAGAGACTCTTATACAAGGTAGAGGTCTGTGAGTCAGCTTAGAGTAGCACTGTCGTGCATTCACTCTAGTGACATGTCTCCGCAAAGGAGGGTGAGATGGAGGTTGTGGAGATGGATACCAAGAAGGGCACAGAGACAATAGGCGCGGCTGGCACAACAGAAACCTGTATACTTGGACTTCAATCGCTATCCAGAGAACGGGTGACAGGCCAAAAGAAAGACAATGATACAGCTGCAAAGGAGGCAGCGGCCAAAGAAGCAGCTGCAAAGATAGCAGCTGCCAAAGAGGCAGCTGCCAAAGTGGCAGCTGCAAAGAAAGCAGCTGCCAAAGAGGCCGCTGCAAGGGAAGCAGCCGCCAAAGAGGCAGCTGCAAAGGAAGCAGCCGCCAAAGAGGCCGCTGCGAAGGAAGCAGCCGCCAA